TACATACATACATACATACATACATACATACATACATACAAACAGACACACCAAACTTGTGGATTAGATATAGTAGAGATAGTAGAGATTGTGTAGGCCACATACGCACCAAAGCGCCACTACGACTCTGGATGAAAGTTGAGTGCGGGGGTAATCGATGCCCGAAGACTTTCTCCTTTTTTTATTAACAAGGGTTATGAAAAAGATGTGATCATCCATGCTACACAGTAAAACCTACCACGTACCAAAATCGCATTTCCGATACCTGTTCGTCTTGGAGTACCATAAATCCCTGTTATATCTTTGAGTTGAGTAACAAATACATGCACAGCAGCTCCCGTAGTAAAGCCGGCTACGATTTGATCAGAGAAATATACGGTGAGGAAATCAAGTCCAAGGATGGCAATGGAAAGCTGAAATCCTGCTTGTAGACAATATTCTTCCGCTCACTGCTTTGCCCTATAGTTACCTGAACAAATCCGATTGCCAAAGTGAGAGCAGAAGCCACTTCAACTGGATGGAAACTATGTTCAATTGATGTGGATGCATTTGCTATCGACACATCCATGTTTTCAGTATCGTAAGCTAGTCGATGAACCGTTTTTCCGGACATTAAAGCTACAACCGCAAAAGAGCCTAAAAAATTGGAACTCTACTCCACTTACTGATTGGAATGACCATTTCTTTTTCTGTGCAATCGACCCATATACAAAAGTTGGAATTGACCGGGGTTGGTAACGATCAATATCGATCATAATTACCAATTCTACAAGGTGATAAAATCCTCAGAATGGCGCTTTCCGTGATACAGTAAGCTAAGCAGCCGATGTTCACCGAACTGCCCTATCATCCGACATACCCTCTCCACACAATTGAGACCATATCGATTCAAAGATGGATTGCGCCGTGTATCTAGCAGATTCTAGTAAATCGTTTGATGTCGGGTTGTTGACAAAATAAGCGAACTAAGAAGTCTATTTTTTCTTTCTCTGCATTGGATTATTACCGATCGAATTATGACGAGAATTTCCGAAGAGCATATAAGTGAGCACGGGAAAGAATGATGTGTAAAGACCGTTCACAGGATAGACACCAGCAAGAAAGGCGTAGGCTATGCCTATAAATAATCCCTATTGGTAAAGTTCAATGTTCCATTCGGACGACGATACCTTGTGGTACATGCATAACACCGACCATGAACCCTCCAACAGCGTCTCGAAGTAAATTGCTTTTGATGTCGTACCTGAAAATGTGAATAGAGTAAAAGCTCTAAGGACTGGGCTATTGTGACATCACCTGGGAAGCCAGCGTAAAATTGGCATGAACGACAGTAGCGTCCTCAAAAATAATCGTAAGCTCGTGAAAGGTCTGATGAATCTTGAGAAATATCTGGTTATCGTTGTGACGAGTACGTTTTCCCCATACGGTTCGATATATTCAAAACGTTTATCGAACTCAACCTGAATATTCCTTCATTGGAGGCATATCACTTAATACTCCTTACTTACTTCAGCCTCAAATCGTATCATTTAGTTCACATAACGTTATTTTTCAGAGAAAAAAGGCAAGTCAACAAGAGACATCATTGGTCGCATTCATACTCCGCATTGGCCGCCGGCGGCAAGCAATACTGCGTCGCCGTCGATCGATATACCATGTGATCTCACGCTTTTTATGCTGGACAAATCGACATTGTCTGATCGATCGGTAGTTCGTAATGAGTAGTGGAGCGCGACAGGCATGCTTCGGCCCATCAAGGGCATGAAATCTTGGCATGAGTCACAAGAGTTACCAATCCTGTGACATATTCATTAGTGACCGCAGGCCGCCGTTTATCGCATGGCATTCGGAGTCCCCATCGCTCGCAATCGCAGAGTATGAATGCAGCCATTAACTGACTTGATGAAATCGCTACGATATCATATCAGCACCGGAATCTAACTAGTGTTTATAAAAATTTCTTTGAAAAGGGTGAGATCAACATGCTCTTCCAAAATAACCGTCAGGGTATAGACCTGGCCTCGCGTTCGTTGTCTTGGCAACTTTTTGCGCATGAGTTTCACGGAGTTACTACGAGATTATTTCATTCAAGCCTATATTGCACACGAACACTTCACAAAACAACATACATAAAGTTCACAAAGATTTTGAAAACTTCGAAAACTCACCTGATTCATAGGCACCCTGTCTTGCATATCCCATTCTGATGGAACTGATATGGACGGTGATGACGGACTGCCACTGTTCACCTCCATTTGGCATAAACAAAGTGATAAATGTTATTCTAAATAAATTCACTTGAAAACGGGAAAACTTTTTATATTTACTGTTTACCAGTAACCAACCACCAGCCCTTATTGTGTTGTTATTGCTGTTGTTAAAACTGAAGCCATAGCTCACGAAGCCCCGATTGTGGAGAGTTCTCGAGTTTTTATTATGCTCGGTTTACATCTTTGACAGTAGGCATAGCAATCCTCTTGAAGGATTGAATCGCAATGATTTCGTGGCAAACTTTTAAGGTTGAAAAGAGAAAAGCTTGATGGAAAAAGTGCATCGGTAGCGAGCGAAGAACGCGGGATAATCGTAAATCCATGGAATTCAAGGCCTATTCAAAGTAATCAAATGGTTGTAAGCGATCACCATGGCACAAATTGCTTGGCATTTGTATTTGGACGGAATTTCTGTTGTGGTAATTGCGTGAAAATCAGTTTACATTGAGTCAGAAAGGCGAAAGATGCCTTCTTCTATGTGCATTTATAGTACCGGAGTGCAGACGCCGGCGCTGGCGTCGTAGCGCTGACCGCTGATCGATATCTCGCAAGTCAATGAATCGTGCTGCAGGATGCGGGCTTGAGTGGAAAAATTAAAATAAAAGGTTTGGTGAGAAAATTGAGACCGTTTCCTTGAAAAACAAAAAAAGAAGACCTGAGACTGCCAGTCTTAAGGAAGAGTACAGCCGACGTGACAGCTGACCGCAACAAGTGAAACCCATTAGATGTATGAGAAAGGCTACTGAAGACCAACCAATTTGATATTCGATCAAGTTGAAAGTAAAATGCTATCAAGGGTATACAACAAACAAATCAGCCTATAGCCAGCAACTTGTTTACTAACTACTACGACTCTTGGGGAATCTTAAAGAGATTGGTAACCCTAAAATGAAGTGTGAACTTTGCGATTTTCCTGGTGAAATTGTAGTAGGAGGAGGAGACGGTGAACCGCGTTTCTCTCTGAGATTGACCTCTAGAGTGCAAAGAAGGGGTAGCCGTCTTCGCGAACTTATAATGGTGCTTGAGTACACTTCTTAACCGAGAAAATATATTTTTCAAACCTAAGCTTCAGAAACGAAGAAGTTCGGAGTGGGTGAGTCAACTGAATGTTCAATTTCACCCTATCCCAGCTTCTTGCACGAGTTAGTCATCTTACTCACCCCGATGCTCCTACTGTACTCACTCCTACACTCACAAATAGGTACGATGAGAGGCCTGGTCGAACCATATCAATTAAATGTAAAACCCAGATATTTCGAATTAGAACTCACCCCTTTCAATGAAGAGACACAATCACCGAAACAAATGCAAATGCTCTAAAACAGATTTGCCAATCAATTGACGTCTGTCTAGTAGGGACAAAGCCAAATATTCCATATGTGGAACTGGCGATCAGCACATAGCTGCCATCCAAAAAAAGAGACACGCACAAAAGTTCTATTCATTGTGTATTCTAACATAAACTGAAACCGAGCATGAAATTTTGACCCTGCTTTCCATCGAGTCTCCCAGTTTACGGTATTATGAAGAAAAGCTCGAGAAAATGTCAGTGAATTGGCCTTCTCTTTCAACAACTCCGTTGATATCCCACTCTCGTTTGTTAGAGCAATCGCTCTTCTTACTTCTTGTTCTCTACGATTCATTTTTAGTTTGGGTTTTATGACTGCTTAAAATCCGCAAAGCTGGATACATTTCTTTGCGGTACTATTCCTAAAGAGCCCCATTCTTTATTGCTCCGGATTAACGCTCTATAAACACAATCCCTATTTCCCTACGAGTTTCGGGAAAGTGATGAAGTACACATGGCTACTCGTCCTGCTCACATCCTGATATCTCTGATGATCAGCATGGCTTTGTTCTAAGTAAATAGTTCTATTAAAATACAGAATTTGGAATTTCTAAATGACTGACCCTGTCTTTGGACAACACAGACCTCTAGATGTAGTTAATTTTGATTTCACTGGAAGGTTCGATAGAGTATCACACATTATTCAGAATCAGAACAATTGAAGTAAGCGTAGATCCTCAAATTATTGATTGGATAAGCAATTTTCTGTAACTCGAACTTTTCAACTTTTCAAGTTGGAGTCGATTACCCTATGCTTCCAGCAAAACAGCGCCCAGTGAAATCCGACTAGGTCCCAATCCTTCTCCAATTCGTTTTGATTTCTTTAGTTACAATATGTTTTCCAGAGCGTCCCACTGCGAATGATGCGACCTTTACAGCTTCTACAACGCTGTGAGAACTCGTCTGTTTTTGGGTGTGTTCGTGGGCCAGGTCGATATAGGCCCTTGTCACGCCTTGTCTAGCCCGTTTTAGTCAGCCGTTTAGTTGACAGCGTCCCTTGGGTTATCCTTGGTTGTACGGCTAAATCCCGCAGAAAACCCAAAGAAACCATTTTTGCTTTCAACTACGCTTTCAAAAGTAAGGGTCTCTGAATTATCTCAGAGTGATAATGATGACTTTGAAAATTGCCTGCCAGAGAGTACACAACAGAACGAATCAATGTGTATTGCGATCAGCACTGAACATTCGTCAAACAACTCTACCTAGCAAAACAGAGGGCGAATTCAGTGGGATTCTTTAAAGAGGTCCAGTAAAGGTCAAAACAATAAGAACGACTAAGGCGCTAGTGGATGAGCTGCATCTGATGTCATTTGGTAGGAGAGGTGCATCGCTTCGCCGATCAGGATCATCAAGAAAGTGACGAGGAACACGACTATCGAGAAGACGATCAACAGCAGTCTGTCCAAGACGGTAGCCAGGTACTCCCATTCCAGTGCGTACCTGAAGCATCAACGTATTGTCGTGCAACGTGCACGGTCACAGCACAACACGACACCAAGACATTGACGTAAGCAAGAGGAATTAACGAAAAGCCAGAACACCACAGCATGGAAATGAAGAATAACTCCGCGTTACCCTATCGCTTCTCCATTCCCTTTGACCTCTGAACAATGTCCACGCGGAAGGATCGGGCGAAATAACTACCTTGCTAGGGTATCCTAACACACTAGTTGGCAAGTATCTACTTTAGTAGAACTGAACTAGAACACTCTCAATCAGGGTTCTCCATAGTAAGTAACCCTGTCAATGCATTCAGTGTGAGCATGCATCTGTCACTAGAATATCGAATTTGATGCGCGAACTGAATATCGCGCAGTAGGACAACTAGCAAATATCTCCATCTAGAACACGACCTACGACGAGACAACTGGCTAGGAACCATCTCATGCTGTGAGCAGAACGAGGCCCGTATAATGTCTGCCTTCTACTGATCGCTACATAGACCGCAAAAGGGTCTAGAACCCTCTGCGATTCCGAATAGTGTACGGATGCACTGTGTTCCCCAAAAGCAGAGTCCTTAACGATCAGATGTTCTTTCCTCCATGTGTCCCACTAAAGAAATTATGTATAAGCGACTTTTTAACTGATGCAAGACCTTGGCAGGGACGATAGAGTGCCATACACAATATTCAGAAAACGTAAAATCTTTGTGACTACTATTTTTGATCAAATACTGTACCCTGTTTCTAGTCTGGCACGAATAGTAGCACATCATAGAACAAGCACACCACACCACGAAGATTAGAAATCCTGACTGGTGGCATAGGTTACGGAAAGATCACTTTTTGAATCTAATGCTGGTAATAAATAATCATGACTTCATCATAACCTGTGACCAGCCAGACATCTACTCTACTTCGAACTGAACTTACCTCCTTTTGAGTTTACTTTCGAGTAAAGTGTTTTCAGTAGCGCTGAGTGCCGAAAGGCATTGCATTAAGGGTGGTGAATCTTCGTCATCTAGTTCTCGATCTCGCTGAACCGACAACCGCTGAATTGGTTGTAGGGGGCGAAGTGGTGGAACTAAACGATCACGTAATCATTTGGAATAACTTCTGGACATATTTTACCCTTTGAGCGTTTAATTATTTTTAATTATTCTCCAGATTATTACGGACGAAGAGAAACACCATCTTCAAGGGTTGATCAATTCCACAGAGCAAAGCTCCCCAATTTAGTCAGTCCCACTACAAAAACTCCACATAGTGCACATGGTCTTGCCCACTTGGTGTTTTCCGAACCATTAATTCATCTGAAAAAGGAATAATAGTTCTCTCTGACGCCGGTGCCCATTATGGAAATCCCACTTCAGACAGCTCTGCCCACCACGGAATTTCTGCCCACCCAAATAAACGTTTCAGTTTTTTTGCGCCCTTCCTATGGTACCTCGGCCTTCAGCTTTGTGAACATATTGCCCCTGGACGTCTTTATGGGTGGAATAGAAAATGACAAAAATATATGAATCAATACTATACCACTTTAGATGTGTAGTTCATAAAGAGTAAGTTATAAGTGTAATAGATCGAACTGTAATTTACCATCACCATTGCCGTTATTGCGGTCCTTTTTACTTCGTTCACTGGCTTTTCGAGCTAGACGCTTCCAGTTATTCCGAGCTGTCTGACTGCGTAGCAAGTTGCTTTCTTCAGTTATACTGAAAGGCAGAAGCGAATTTTATCAAACACTTATTGCCCAGGGACGTAGGGGAACGAGTTCTAGAGGAGCTAAATTTGAAGATTTTAGGGCTATTCTCTTGAAATGAAAGTATTATTACCTCGGCTGTTTGAAGGGAGATTCCCTAGATGGAGGGGGTGGTGGAGTCTTCAGCAGTGGCGGTGGAGGCGTTTTCAGTAGAAGTTCGGTATGGGAATTGAGAGGTTGAAGCTTCGGCTTTTTCTGAAAAAAAGCTGTCGGTCCAGACTCCAGACTAAATGCTTCAGTGAAGGTATAAGTCTGACCTTTGGTGTGTTCTTCCGGTTGGATCGTCCAAAATGTACACCGGTCTCTTCCCAGAGCTCAAGTAACATCGTTGGGGGATGTAATCGAAGCAAGGAGGCTACCTGAAATATATTTTGGTATTAAAAAATCGCTTCTTTATGACACTCTCTTCTCCCTGGCCTTAATTAATTTGAAGGCTGTCGTAACAGTATGAGACTTCATAGTTATTACTTCTTCACCGGAACTTCGCTTAATGAAGTATAAACCGTATGAACGCGACAATAGTCACAGGCGACTGACTGCATCTGCCCTGCCACACCCTTTCCTCTTCCTCCCCTCTCCCCTGAACTCCCGCACTCCGCCTGTACCCCCGTCACCACTGACGGGGGTAGATGGGTAAAACTTGCTAACCCATCTTTCAGTAATATCGGAAAAGAGGGAGTAACCAATTTCGTACATCATAAAATCAACATTGGCAGTCAATTTTGTCAATGTTTTTTGGGAGAACGAGGTTGCTAGGTGGGCTCATTATTATTTATTGGTTCCAGACACCTGCAACCGACGGCATGAGACCAGTCTTCATTAGCTGTTCGAAAGAAGAGGAAAAACAATGATGCTAATGGTAAACTCTGGTGATTCGCCACATTAATGATACAGTACACACCTCAAGCTGCTACTGATAGGAAAAACTCCCGAACCACTAAATCAACGCTGAATGGGTCGAGTTCCGAACCCCCTAGGCCCTAAGTTCCAGATCGACTCATTTATGGTGTCAACTTTCAAGCTTAACGTTCCGTTTTGGACAAGATCCTGTCCCAAACCTACGCTTTCCCAACGCGAACGCTGGTTTCAATCTCATTTACTGCTGACTGTTTCGCCCACACCCCCAAACTCCTCATGTAGAACCTCCCCTTATGAAGTTTGGTAACAAACAAGTAGGTACTGAAGGACATTTTCATTCATTCAGTACTATTTTCTAAGCGAATTCGAAAAGGGTTGGCTCACGCATTTCAAGCAGTTCTTTTATAGTCGGAAAGATTCTATAATATCGAATTGTTCTATGTCTATGGAATGAGTGGAACCCATGAGATGGGTGGGGCCAGACAGTGAATAGTACTGTGCCCAAGTACTTCTCTGACGACTACACATCATTTATAACAAAGAAAAAAAACCGTCCTAAACCCCATCTCTAGCTATTCTATCTCTCACGATCATTTTCTAATTTGCTTTCTTTCTAAACCACCTCTTCGGAAGCGAACTCAGTACGTTCTTCTAAGAAAAATGACCGAAAAATCATGGCTCGTGCTATTCTTCGTCGTTTCTTTTCTTAACTGTAATCAGCGTTCTCATGTGATCGAATTCGAGAATGTCATCGTATGTTAACGAATATCCTTCCGGAGCTGTTCATGAAGAGGGGAAACAATGCTTTTTGCAGTTCCGGTCTTATGTTTTCCTACTGTTTGTTAATCTCATTCTTCCACTGCCCAGTAAACAGATCCACGGGGAGGATCAGGATTTCAACCGACCTCCACCCCGTTTCATGGAAGCTTTTACGTTTTTATGATTGGTTCAATACGAAAAGGAGAAATTCTGAAAAATTACGTGTTGTACTAGTACTGCAGAATATTGGAAAAGAGCTCGACCAGCTTCTATCACGCACGTATCGTCAGAAGATCGAATACCCGAATCAGTTCTCGCCTGCGCCAACGAAGCCCTCTATTCTTCCATGGTGGGCTGACATCAGATTGCCATCAGACTTGACAGTGAAAGCGAAAGCACTGACTGGTACACAGGCTGGCCACCGCAAGTCATTACATGGCTAGAGGGGACGGGACGGGTATCCCACTAGGGGGATTGATTGACGTTGACAGACGGTTGAGATTCCAGATTCATTATTATTGTCAAATATGGAAGCGGTTCAACAGTCATACGGGCAATTGAATTCCTCTCAGGAGACATTTCTTCATACACCAATTCAGTTTTTCGGCCTACTACGTCAATTCCAGTTGGCAGCGTCAATTCCAGTTGGCAGGGAACCTGTCCGCTCCGGATGATTACAATACTAGTTGTTAGACATACAATGTCTTCTCCCTTCTGTTCTGTAGATCAGTACTGCACACTCAAAAACTTCCACAATTCTGGAGGAAAATCGAAGGCGTGGCGTCTCCAACAGTCCGTTATTGGCTCGGACGGTTTGGAACCTTTTTCGATTAGAACTATACGAAATAGCGGTGAAACACAACCTGTTATGGAATCTGTTGAGGAACCCCCTTTGTTATGTGAAACCAATTCGACAATCATGATACCAGGGCAATAAACGAGGGAACGGGTACTGGGAAAAAACATTTATGGAATTGACGTTGATAAATTAAATTGGAATACCGGTAAATGGGAACGAAACGAATAATTTCAGGTCTGTTCTTTTCATTTCAAAGAATTATACGTAACAGCATCGTACATAGTGTAACAAAAGGAAATCTAGAAAAGTCAAATAGGCACAACCGGTTGAGTATGCAAATTTCGACGTCAGCAAAAATGAAACCTCAATAAAAGGGGGCGGGAACCGAGAAGACGTTTCACTCGTTCTCACTAAAGACTCGATCTTTTCAATGTTCTTCTATGTACTCCTCATTCTACTAATACTTGATGCTCAAACCAGAAGGATTCGGGTAAGCCATAAAGACAACTAAAATCTCACGAACATTTTTTATTGATGGATCGTCGGTCATCCCATAAACAAAACGGTTTCTGTAAGGTTTTTTGGTTCATTTTCGACAGCAGTAAACAAAATTCATCCAATCTTCTACAGAACTTTTATATTCA